AAGAAGGGCGGGGTACAAATTAAATTATTATTATTATTATTATTATTAATTGATGTTCAACTCCTTTGATAGCACAAATACTTGCCACTTTGTCCGTTCTCCAGTGAAATTTCTGTTTTTCAAGGACATAGCAGTAATTTTAATCCATGTTACTTGTTGCCTTCTCTTTCTTCCTCTTCCTTCAACATTCCTAAACATGTTTATCTTATTGAATCACTGCCCAAAATATGTGAGTTTTCTAGTTCCAGACAATCACATCAAATGAACAATAAGTCTGCATATAGTCCAGAACGGCTGAATCCTTGTTCCTTAATTCTTATCTTCAAATTCATAATTCAAAGACACACTAAGACACCAACATTATGGTTTAACACGTGTAAAATTAATCAACTGTTACTCTAAGTTGGATTCTTTAATTCCACAAACTGTATATATATTTACATAGTTTGCATATGCTTATTCCTGGACAGATAGATAGTCAGCTAGATATAAAATGTGCATCAGGGTTACTTCCTTGCATGAGACAAGGATTTCTGTTTATCTACTTCAGTGTTTCACAACCTCACATACTGGGGTGGGAAATTCTGGGAGTTGAAGTCCACATGTCTTAAAGTTGCTGAGGTTGAAAAACATTGATCTACTTCATCTTTTCTTACAATATAATCTGTGTACAATTCACAAAGTATACTGATGAATAATGCACTAATTTATTAAAATATTTCATGTACAACCCATACTTTTATTCTAAAATTCCTAGTACTCAAATCTGTTGTACCCTTTCCATAAGTTACACGGCAAAACTGTCCTAGAAACTGTGTGTGCTAAGTGGGACTGAAAGAATGTAATTCAAAGAAAAACTGGCAACTCTCAGTGGAAGTGAATAACCAGCTTTTATTTTGTACCATCATGTGTACTGTTTAAACCTTCATATTTTTGCAGACATGAGAAAGAATTTTTGTAATTCTTCAAAATACCATTTGTAAATTTCAGATGATGGCCAGTATCGTAAAGACAAACTCTGCAGACCATGACATAAGGCAATAGCTCCACTGATTTAATGGTAACCAATATGCAATCGAGAGGGGGAAAAAATGCTGCTTCATGTAAAATTAGCTTTGATCTCTCAAAGCTAATTCTCTTCCTTTCTGAAAATTTGCATTAATTGGAATAACAGTCCACTTTTCCCTCTACCCATATAGACAAGATTCTGAAAGAGAGAAAGAAAAGAATTCTGATAAAATTAGATTGGTGGGGAAATCAAGCAATTTTACCCAAACACTTCATATTCTGTAGAAAAAACAGTTGATAACAATGCCCTAACACTGCATCTATATATGATGGTCAAGGTTTGAAAAATGATAATACAAAAAGAATCTATTGCGATTCTAAAAGTCACATCAAGTTTAACATGATGAATATAATTCCACATAGAGAACTAAAAGTCAAGTCAAGGGGAAAAGTTCTCAATGACATCACTGTGAATTGGACACCCTTTAAAAGCTGAAATTTATCACAATAGTTTAGTATTTATTTATTGTTACAATACACACATTTTTGAATGCACATGGTAATCCATAAAGCTGTATTCAACAGAGTATAGGAGCACTGTTATAACCCCAAGTCTATGAGTACCAAAACTTGCTATTTAACAAATGAAGAAAACAATAAATGCAAGTAATTCTCATATAAATATACAGGTAATCCATTTAGCATATGACACAAAACTAGAATTCTAGGTTCCAAGTTAACCTGTCCAAAAGCATATTATCTAGTCCATTATTAAACCTTAGGAAGCCAAAACTTAAACTTTAATATTTGTGGTGAGGAAGGGTTTCAGTAGAGGAGTAGGCATAAAATTGGGATAGTTTTTAAATTCATATTGCCATTTTTCAGCAGTTACATTAACAAAATTTAATAGAGTGATCAATCAGAATAGGGTACAAAAACATTTGGGGGGGAGAGGGCTACAATACGTATGCTTACCCCTGCACTATCAGCAATGATCATCCAGCCTCTTCTTAAATATTATGAAGAATTGGGTTTCTTACCATCTTTAAACTGATGCATCTTTCTGTTTCAAGAAAGGGCTACAACAGATACAAGACAGGAAAAATACAAGCCAGTAACTTTGCATAGTTTGATTCATGTTTTCATCATCAAAATGCAAGTGCAGGACTACATCAATTCATAGTTATACCAGAATGGTAACCCCTTAGAAATATTATAAACTGAAGTACTGACTAAGAATTGGAAGATGAGTATATTGTTGATACATTGGAACAATTCATTTAAGTTGTTCAAATTTTAATTTTCTTTACGATTTTTACAAACAATGGATAAAGCATATTGGGTATCATACCTCTATAAACTGCTCAATGTTTGACATTCAATTCATGCTGACTATACATGTTGCAGGAATGCCCAACAAACAAATAGAAAGGTCATATTTCAGCAACAAGATGGGCATTTTCATCAGACGTTTAGCGTTTTACAAATAGATACCAATATTTGTAGAGTTATATTTTTTAGATTGGAATAATTAATGGCATATCTTCATTCTGTTCCTGACTCTTGTTATTACTAAATGTAAAGTATTCCTGAAGCAATAAACTGAGAACAAAAGTCCAGTTTGTATATATACTGCATGGGATATTTTTTTCTTTGGAAAAAAGTCAAGTTCAAGGAGGCCACATGGATATAATAACACTAAGCCTGAATGCTTTTTAAGGCCTTCTGAATGGGAGCATTCATTAAACCCAATAAAGGTTTGACACCTATGGCTGGATGGTTAAAATACACCATCTATGTTGAAGAGTAGGATGCCTAAATCAGCATCATTTATCACTTGGAGGCTTCTTCTTAGCTTCTACATCTCTCTTGATGTCTTCAATCTTCTTTGCAATGTTTGGAACCTACAAACATATAAAGGAATATAAGAACCACTGCAATTTGGAGAGTCAATTCAAGGTAATCTCTGGATCCATGATATGTACAGGAATGTCTCTTCTTCTACACTCTAGTATGCACCATACTCTAGTGCAGGGGTCCTCAACCTTGGCAACTTTAAGACTTGTGGACTTCAAGTCCTAGACTCCCTCAGCCAGCTGGCTGAGGAAGTCTGGGAGTTGAAGTCCACAAGTCTTAAAGTTGCCAAGGTTGAGGACCCCTGCTCTAGTGTCTTTTCAAGACTGACCAAAGATCAATTTATTTAATTTCTGCATTTCAAGCTTTACTGTTGGAATTAGTAGCAGTGGAAAACCAGGCAAACTTTGGTGCCTTCTGGGACAAATACTAAGAAAACACTAGCATTCCAAAACTTATAATGCAGGTTTCAATGGAAAAGTGTCAAAATATATCACAGAAATTTTTTTTATACATAGAAGTAAGAGCAGGTTAATGTGGAAACAGAATGAAATTAAGGAATGGATGAAGGAATGTAAAACTGATCTGGACTCTCCTTATTACACAAATCAAAAGCTGGTGGACTGTGGTTACATACAAAAATAGGAAATCAATAGCCTTTCAGATACAGCAAGTCAACAACTCTCATCATCTTTGACACTTTTGACCACTGCATTCTAGAAAAAAATGGGGACTGGAGTTCAGACTCATCTGGTGTTTGATAGGCTCTGCAATCCTCACAAATTCCAATTCTTAACATAATTTCGAAAGCAGCAAAAATACTTACATCATAGTTCTGGGCCAAATACATTCCAACTACATTGCCAACTGCAAAACCGAGCTGGAGAAAGAACAAAAAGGATAACATTGAGGATTTTACTTCTCTCACTCACCACACATGAAATGCAATTTAGAAATGCAATTAGTTTTCCATTCTATCTTTTAAAACACATGTTTTGCCAATTTCAGGCCAAAACCTGATTTTCATTAAAGTGTTTATCATGTTTTTAGCTAATATTTTTCCAAACTGTTTGTACCATTTGGCTGAATTCCATGTAAACTACATACAAATAATTCCTTTATTCACCATTTGCAATTTAAACACTGGAGTTGTGCAAACAGACAGGCCAGGATTTGGGAAGACCTCAAATAGCATATTCCTAGTAGCAGGTATGAGAGAAAAAGATAGGGTAGGGCAGAGTTCCCCAATCTTTCCGGGTTGGTGACCCAGAGGGGGAGGGATAAGGGGGAAAGAGGGGATGGTTTTATGGGAAGGGCAGGTAAGTGCACGTGCACAAACACCTGTTACTCATGCGAGTGAGGCCGAGTGCTCTCACGAGAGAGAGCCCCCATGAGTGGGACCGCAAGCCCCAAGCGCCTGCGACACTCGCGTGCATACACCAGCCACTCACACAGCCTGGTTGTGAAGAGGCCATGGACCGGTAGATTGGGGACCCCTGGGGTAGGGGATCTTCCTTTTTCACTGGCATAATTGCCACTTATTTAGCTGCCAGCATTTTCTCATGGCTGTTTCTACTTCTCTACTGTGAAATAATGTCAAGATGACAAACCATGGAGGGATGTGGTAAGTGGGTAGCTTTTTTGTGGCTAGAACATATACTCCTTTTAAAACAGCGTCCTCAACCTTTGCGGCTTGGTGGCCCACCTGAGGGGGAAGAGGGGAACTGGACCACACAAGCAGTGGACCTTGATTTTGCCACCCTCCTCCCAAAATACTGCTATGTGGAGAGAAGCATGCAGCTGGATACCTCAAGGTTTTGTCTTGGGCCCAGTGCTCTTCAACATAGATGACTTCATAAATGACTGAAGTGGCACTCATCAAATTTGCAGATGACAGCAAATTGGGGTGGGGGGAATTGCTAATACTTTGAAAGAGAGACTCAAGTTCCAGAAGGATCTTGACAGACTTAAGCATTGGGCCTTATCCAAAAGATGATGTTCAGTTTTAAGAAAAGTAAGATCTGCACATAGGCAGGAGAAACCAAATGGACAGGTATAGAATAGGTGGTACCTGCTCAACAGTAGTATCTGTGAGAGGGATCTAAGTGTCCTGGGGATTGGACTAGAAGACCTCCATGGTCCTTTCCAACCCTATGATTCCATGATTCTATGATCATGCCATAGCATGATCAAGAGGGCATTAGAATGACGTCACCTACAGATAAATTGTTTCCAAAGTATGTACATTCCTGATGCTTACTGGGCCATTCTGATTGGAGCAGTATATAAACCCTAGCAAATTAATACATATGTAATTAAGTCCCTAGATGAAAAAATAATAATCACAAGAATTATGTCAAAGGAAACAGAGCAGGAGTTTCATTAAGCACCTTCATGGGCATTTCAAAGATGCCTACATGAAAAACCAAATGGAGGAGTAGTCAGACTAACAGATTAAATGTTGGTGAATGACTATCCATACTAAACTCCGATTCACATTAAAAAAAAAAACTTTGCTTAACTCCATAGTTCCATAGTGCAGTCCAGTACTATGTACTGCTGTCAATTTGTGGTGGCTTATTCCTGTGCATACAGATTTATCCAATTTTATTCATCTACTTTCCAAAAACAAGATTTTTGGACTAATTTAAATGCGCACTTCTTAAATGGTTTCCATCTGGGTAATGAAGTCTTCAAATCTCATAACACTGAAAGAGTAATGAAATATTATGTTAACATTCCAATGCCTGGAGGTTAATTGCTTTTAGCACTTGAGAATCTCTGCTTCAGCCATGAATGAACTGCAGGTTTTACTGACAAGAATAGAAAGAGCTATTAAAAATATGAGCAATAAAATTATGATTGTTTTCAAAAGTCTGCCATTATAAGTCATTAACAACTCACTTCCTATACAATATAATAGATGCAGTGCTCAAAAAAAGGGAAGAAACCCGATTTAAAATAATGTACAATATGATATTAATTTTCATAACCTCATCTGGAGAAGCAGTAACGCCAAATTTTTATTCTTCATTTAATTTACCCTTCCCCAACAATATGCCCTCTAGACATTCTGGACTACAACTCCCATGACTGTAGCTTGTTCCAGGATAGGGAAAGCTGCTTTGAAGCGTATGTTTGCTTTACTTTCTTGGAAACAGGAAAGATTTAGAAATCACCATTTTCTCCCCAAGCACTTGAAGTCCAATCTAATTTGCCTAGCTGTGTGCTTGCTATAACAAATCCCATTTAACAGACCTCTGCAATGGACATTTTTTTTTCATCTAGACATCTTCTTGAAATAATAGAACAGTTCACAGTATCTGAATTAATTTGGGCAGGGTAGTTACATTTATGGTAATCTTACCTTAATTTTACAACATCCATCACAATTTGTATTTTGCATCTGTATGACTCCCCAAGGATTATTTCATAAATTGTTCAAAATATCTTTGAACATTATCATTTATGAAGCAAAATAATTGGGCTCTAAGTCACCCACATAATATAGAAAACTACCTGTAGGGCATATAACAAGACATTTAAATATAAGAAACTATATGAAAGATACAGAGGGCATGAAAGACTGCTGGGTCAGGGATCCCCAACCGCCCCCCGGGCTACAGCCCACTACCAGCCGTGGCACGTTCAGAAGTAGGAGGAATGAATGGCTGGTTGGCGCATGCATGCACACAGCTCAATTTGCATGAGTGGTGGGTCAGCGTGCATGCATGCAGCTTGATTTGTACAAGTGGTGAGTCAACATGCACACACACAGCTCAACTAGCTCATGCAGGTTGGTTCCCCTCTTCCCCCCCCCCCGGCCAAGCCGTAAAGGTTGGGACTGTGCTGGTTGACTGGGCCCGTCTCTCTCTCTCTCAGCCCAACCTATCTCACAGGTTTGTTATTGTGGGGCAAGAGGAGGAGTAAGAAGTATTATTTGAGTTACTTATTAGGATTCTAAAGGAAGGATAAAAATACAATAATATATATATACACACACACACACACACACACACTTCTCTGCTAAAGCATTACTTACTATGCTAATGAAACTTAAGTTTCCAGAAACTTAAGAACACTTTATTCCCCAATCACCTATTCCCGTGGTAGCGAACCTATGGCATGTGTGCCACAGGTAGCACGCAGAGCCCTCTCTGTGGGCACATGCGCCGTCGCCCCAGTCCTAGGCCTTCAGCTGGGTTTTATAAAACCTTTTCACTTTAGGCCTCCGCCGCCGTGTGCAAAAAAAAAAAGGTTCAATCAATCAATTTCTCGCGGGAAAACAAAAGTTGGAATTGATTGATTGAACTTTTTAGTCCCACCCAGTCTGCTGTTACCACCACAGCCACACCCACCCAATGGGACATGCCCACCTAATGGGACACGCCCACCTGGCACCCGATGATACATAAGTGGGTTTTGGGTTGCAGTTTGGGCACTCGGTCTCTAAAAGGTTCGCCATCAGTGACCTATTCCAAAGACTGACTAATGGAAGCTCCCAGGAAACTCCACCACTGAGCAAGGATCCCAATGATGCAGAAATTCCATTCATGTGCTGATACAACCCTACTGAGGAAGGCAATATACACAAGAGTGACTCGTGGAAATATTCATAGTAATCAGAATGTCCTAGCAGAATCTCAGGGAATCAGGTAAATTTCTGAATAAGAATCACCATCTTCTTCCAGCCACAAATGGGGGAAAGATACACATTTTTCTGCCTTTTTTGTTTTGGACATGCAAAGAACATGCAAAGCCAGAGATTGACAGTAGCAGCATCTTCTTTTAATTCTGAAAAATCATGCTTGATTCTGAGATTTCTCATATTTCTCTCTGAACCCCAACACGGACCATTCATCATCATCATCATCATCATCATCATCATCATCATCATCATCATCAATCCTCATCCTTGTCCTCATCATATGTAACATGCTATTGTTTTCAGGATGGATACTGAAATGCTTACTTTTCTAGAGATAAGTATTTTACTTCTCCAATAAGTCCAGTTTGTTCCTGTTATAGCAAACTTGGCTCTCTCGTTGAAAGTATAAAATACACCCTGAAATTGTTCCATCAAGTGGTGGATGGAAAACCTGACTGCACTCGTATTTTTTTGACATGCTTTCTGGAATTTTGCAGTGGGAACAGTTCTTACACAAAAATGCAAGACAAACCTCAGAATTCCATATGAGCCTTCTATTTAATTGGCTTTGACAAATGATACACACAGTCTTATATCCATCATACTCTGACGATACAAGAATTTACTTTGTCTCTGATCTGTATTTCCACTTCCTATTTATTTCTATTATTCTGCCACATGATTTCACACTCCCCCTTTCTCTTAATTTATCATGAAATAGTTCAACTTCTTTCAGCTTCTCAAAGTTTGTCCCAGTTTGGCTGGCTTCTTGGGAATGGAAAGACAAACTATACTCAATGCTAATATTCCAGAACTAGCTGAGAAATTTGATTATGGACAAACATCTGCACAAAATTAGAAGCACTGATGACAAGAGAATAACAGAGTTGGAAGGGACCTTGGAGGTCTTCTAGTCTAACCCTCTGCCCAAGCAGAAGACTCTATACCATTTCAACAAGTTGTTGTCCAATCTCTTCTTAAAAAAATATAAAAATAAAATGCTCTGCCCCCATATTTTCCAACCTGGGCATCTTCCAGATGAATGAAATTCAATTTTGAGAATCAGGCTGGCTGAAGAATTCTGGAAACTGAAGTTCACACATCTAGACTTTGCCCCAGGAGAATTGCAGTGCAGCTGGCTTTGTGTATTCTAATTCAAATTGTATTTTGATGTGGATTTTACGCCCAATTCATGTCTTATCTACATATTATTAAAAATAAATTCAGCAAAATTGTATAGTATTTCAAAAGTTAGTCTT